CTGAACTGTGGACATTTTTACTTTTAGTGAGGTTTCCAGAACCATGTCGATCCAGAATACGGCCTCATCAGGAAGGTGTAGTTATTAGGCAAAATACATACCAGATATTGGCTGTGGCCTGTTACACTCATCGTCTTGTGAAATGCCTTGGCATTCAAACTGTTTGGTGTCTAATGTCTCTTCGTTGAAAATATTGGTATATAACAGGGGTGAGCTACACTGATAGGTCTAGGACCAATTAACTGTCCCAGGACACTGGTGAAAAGCTCACAGACCTCCAAAAATTGAAAGAAAAAAAGAAAGTAGATAGAAGGCCACTTCTATTTTTGAAACAATTATTTTTTAAAAAAGAAAATTAACAATGTAGGAAGGACTATGAACTATTTAAAAGATGAGAGGTAATTCCTGGATGTTTCCAGACAGAAAAATTACCATTTTGGGCAGAAAAAAAGCAGTTGCTGGTGAAGTCTCAGGGGTTACAAAATAAACTTGAGGGATGCATGCAACCCCACGACAGCAATTTGCTCACTCCAGCTATGTAAATATAAGGTCTATCTTACATAGTCTGTCAGGGTTCAAGGCTGTTTCCAATGGGAAGACTTACATTTCTGCATTTCATTTAATCCACAGAAAATCCTAGTTCCCAAAGCAAAGGCATCTTGAACCATGCACAAATTTGTTAGGTGTCTTAGTTCAGGTTCAAGCCCGGGGCATTTGAGATGCTAACACATCCTGGCCAGATTTAGTAATGCTATATATTCAGGGGTAAGGGGTGGGGAGAAGCATGAATAAGAGTACATAAACATACATCACTTTGGTTTGGGTGACTGCATAGTTTTCCTACTGCATACACAAATCCTCCCTACAGAAGAGAATCAGGAAGCAAACTGATACAGAAGACAGTGTTGCTGAACCTGAGAAACATAGCTTCAAGGAAGGATTTGTGTCTGAATCTTGCAATGTAGCTGCCCCATTTTTCAATGTATTTAAAACAAATTCTGGATACCAACTGTACACTGATGTTTTTACCTTTTAGCATACATGAAAGAAGGCCCCTTTCTCCTACCCTGGGCAGATATTTTCAAGGAAAGGGCTGAAGCTGCAAATGCGTGTGCCATTTGTGAATAATACCTGCAACATGTTTTGGACTTGGAGATTGGTAGAATATAGGTTTAGATTAGCACTTCAGTAACAATGAGTCAGTCATCCTAACCAAATGCAAGACTGTCCTCACTGTCATAACCAATTTTATTTAATGAACATCACTTGTTTGCTAGTGAATCATTTCAATTTACACGTCTTTAATTGCTAGACACTCAACTGTTGGATTCCAGCAACTGGATTCCAAAATTGAATTCTAGCAAATCTCAAAGGCATAGTCCACAACCTCAGAAGCAGGGCTGGTGTCCAGTCAGCTCTACCTTGCCTCAAAAGACGTTTGTTGAAAATTAAAAACCAAAATGATAAAACAAAAAACTATTTCATCTCGATGTGACTACACAGCCCAGCTTTTGAATACTGGGGAAGGGTTAGTTTATCAAGAATCTGGAAAGAAAAAAGGTATACACAATGGTGCTTTTGTTCCTTAAAAGTTTGGGGAGAATAGGGAGTTTATATTGGGGCTTCCAATGGCTTGCATATTAATTGTAAAGGAAATCAGTTTCCCCACATACATATCATACCATGGAAATACACTGCAGGATCCAGCTTAATCCTATAAACTGCTGTCTTCGTACAAGATAAAGCATACAGATATGTGTACAGCATCTATATGTTTTTTCCCTGCAAGACAAACTGCAGCTTCAGATGGACGTCGCTGTGCAATTTTAATTGGAAAATATCATAAGATGGCAGATTAACCTCCCTCCTCATCTGAAATCCATCCCCACTCCATTATATCACAGTCTCACTTACTTGGGAGACTGTTACAATGATAAAAAGGGAAAGAAGCAAATGTGTTTTACCTTGGGCTACCTAGGTTTAAAATGAGGATGTCAAGAGTAACGGCAATGTGTTAATGCATCTTTTTAAAGGATATGGTTTTTCCCTTCTAGGCGTTTCATCTGCATGTGTACCATATGTATTTTTAAAAGTAAGGGGGGAAGCAAATAGGCGGCACAGGGCCGCCCTGGGAAGCTGCGGATCGGGGCCGAGGTAGCCGCACTCCTCGGCCCTGCGGCGCAGCGTCCCAATCCCAGGACGCCGAAGGTACACCGCAAAACATTTTGAAATTTTAAAAATTACAGTCGCCCCTCTGTTTTTGCAGGGGATCTGTTCTGGACATACACCCCTGCCAAAATGAAAAATCACAAATATTCAAGCCCCATTGGCTTCAATGGTGCCGTGCACCCACCCCCTTTTGTCCTCCTCCATTTACACTGTCTAACCTGCAAATGGTTGAGGGACGTGGACAACAAGTCAGTGAAAACGGAGGGGTGACTGTATTTTTTAAATTGCCTTTAACCAAATCCTCACTGTGTTGGGGGGGGTGTATCCCCCATTGACAAAGCTGTCAAGTCATGTCTGACCACAGGGGGTGGTGCTCATCTCCATTACTAAGCTCAGGGGTAGGCAACCTTTCCCCTTTAAGGGCCGAGGGACTTCAGCTCCCAGAAGCCTCAGCCATGTTGCCCAATAGCTCCTGGGATTCTGGGAGCTGAAGTCCCTCTGCCCTTAAAGGGGAAAGGTTGCCTAGCCCTGACTAAGCTGAAGGGCCAGCATTGTCAGAGACAACTCTGTGATCATGGGGCCAGCATGACTGCACAGAACGCTGTTTACCTCCCCACCAAAATGGTACCTATTTATCTCCTTGCATTTGCATGCTTTCAAACTGCTAGGTTGGCAGAAGCTGGGACAAGTGAAGGGAGCTCAGCCCATCATGCAGCACTGGGGCCTCGAACTGCTAACCTGCCAAGTTTGCAATCAACAGAGTCAGCGTCTTAACCACTTGAGCCACTGCATCCCATAATTTTAATTTTGGCAGTTGTTTACGTCACAACGACTGGCATGCCATTCAATGCTATGTGGGAATTATGACTGACGAATTACATTAGTGCAAAAAAAAAAAAAAAAAGGCATTGCTAAGTATTCTGGAAGGTGTGAAATGGAAGGGAGAGGTCAACGAAGGGGAGGTGACACCAACCCTAGGGACGCCACTGCTACCTTTTTTACAAGAATATTATGGGGGACTTTGTCAAATGCCTCACTGAAATCAAGATATGCTATGTCTACATTATTTCCTTCATCTTGTCAGCCAGGGCATCCTCATGCTGTATACCTATGCATTTCATTCAAAATTTTGGCTGCATCCACACTGCGGAAATACACTCGCCCCTCCGTTCTCGCAGACTTGAGGTCCATGGTTTTGCATATTCACGGAGGGGCGACCTCCATTAAAATCAATGGGGTGCACCCCATTCAAGCCTATGGGGCTTGAATATTGGCAAGTCTCCGTTTTCGCGTGGTGTGCGTATCCGGAACGGATCCCCTGCGAAAACGGAGGTCTGACAGTAATCCGTTCTGACACCACTTTGACTGCCATGGCTCCATTAATTATTAATAATATAAAAATAATAATTAACCAGCAATGCACTGGGACATTGCTGGGGCCTTCTACTAATAGCCTACAAACAGAACAAGCACTAGCAGAGCTAAAGGAATTAAGACGAGGCAGAGTAATGAAGGAAAAGGTTTATTAATAAGTAAACAGCATGAAAGGCTCAGGGCCTTTACAGACTGGCAGAAATAATGCAGCTTGAGGCCACTTTAACTGCCCTGACTCAGTGCTAGGGAATCATGGGAACTGTAGTTTATTGTGGCACCAGAGCTCTCTGACAGAGAAATCTCAGTATCTCAGAAAAAACTACAATTCCCATGATTCCCTACCACTGAGCCAGGGCAGTTAAAGTGGCCTCAAGCTGCATTATTTCTGCCAGTCTGTAAAGGCCTTTAGTCATTTCAGCCAAACCTGAATCCCTGACTAATAATAATAATAATAATAAAAGCCAAGACCTTGCTGTTCTACTATTAACATAATTAATAATGTTCCCGGCTTCCCTCAGCTGCTTCTACACCAGGGGTAGGCAACCTTTCCCCTTTAAGGGCCGAGGGACTTCAGCTCCCAGAAGCCTCAGCCATGTTGGCCAATAGTCCCATGTTGGCCAATAGCTCCTGGGATTCTGGGAGTTGAAGTCCCTCGGCCCTTAAAGGGGAAAGCTTGCCTACCCCTGTTCTACAAGCTTCAAACAAACTACAAATCCCAGCATTCCATCGCACGGAGCCATGGCGGCGTCAGAACGGGTTATTTCCGCGGTGTGGATGGACTCTGGGGCCGGGTCCTCACCTGCAGGTCCGTGACGGAGACCTCCAGCGCCGTCAGGTAGAGGTAAGGGACGCCGCTGCCCCGGGACCCCGCCGGGCCGTCGCTGACCGAGAAGACGTTGGCGAAGGGCCGGCCCCGCATCGGCGGCTCCTGGGCCGAGAGCGTGGCCAGCGCCGCCCAGTCGCACGCGTGGGCCACGAAGCGAGCCACCCGCGCCGCCTCTTCGTGAGGGGGGATCCCCTCCATCGCCATCGCCATCGCCATCGCCGCGACGGCCGCCCACAGCAACACCAGCGCCGCCCGCATCCTTCGCTCTCCTCTCTCAGACTGACGCCTCCAACCTGGAAAGGGGCAACTGACAAAATGGGCGACACCCTCCTCGCGCCGCGCGGCCTCGCTCAACCCTTCCGATTGGCTCGCTTCACCGTAAGGGGCGTACACGGCGAAGGGGAAACAACCACTAGGGAAGGCCCTGGTGAGTCATCATCCAATAGAGGCACGACATCGCCCGGACGGATTCCCTCACCTGCCAATGGGAGATAACTAGTGGCGGAAGAACCTGTGGGGTTAGAGACACTTTGGGGGGTGGGATTATAGGAGTTTTCTACCAATGGGAGGTGTTGTTGTTGTCGTGTCTGTCAAGTTCTCTCATGGAGACCCTGAGGCGGCTCTGTTCAGAGAGAGTGTGGCGTAGTGGTTTGAGCGCTGGACTAGGACTCTGGAGAACAGGGTTCGAGTCTCGGCTCCGCCACGAAAACCCAGTTTTTGGACCAGTCACACTCTCTCTAAAGCTTTCATGCACACTGCAGAAAGATAATCCCCAGCTTGAGACCGCTTTAACTGCCCTGGTCAGTGCTAGGGAATCCTGGGAGTTGTAGTTTTGTGAGACATTGAGCTTTCTCTGTCAGAGAACAAGCTCTGGTGCCAAAACAAACTACAACTCCCAGGATTACCTCAGTAGCACTGAGCCAGGGCAGTTAAAAAGGTCCCAAACTGGATTATTTCTGCAGTGTGTTTTGGACCTTAGCCTCCTCTGTCAGAAAGCCATGGTGCCACAACAAACTACAGCTCCCAAGATTCCATAGCACTAAGACATGGAAGTTAAAGCGGTATGGAAGTGGGTTATTTCTGCAGTGTGGATGCAGCCTCAGCCTCAGCGAGGGGTTACAGTGGCAAAACCCACTCTGAACAGGGTGACCAGCTGTCCTAACCACAAAGGAGGACAAGGCACCGCAAAATGGAGGGCATTCGAGAAAAATGGAGGACATGGCCAAATAATCAAAACATTCCTATAAACATAAATTGATGCTTCTTGGTCATGCTCAAAATCTCCTGGACAGAAGGTGGAAAATGGAGGACGAGTCCTGGAAAAGGAGGACATGCCTGGTCACTCTGCCTGTGAACTGATCTTGGCAAGAAAACCCCATAATAGGTTCCCTTTCTGTTTGCCATAAGATGGAAGCAACATAAAGGCACAACAACAACAGCAAGGCAACCTTATCATGGGTTTTTCTTGCCAAGATGTATCCAGAGGGGATTCCCTTTGCAAGGCCAGATTAAGACCTTTAAAGACCCCCCCAAAAAAAATATGGTGCCCCCATATGTTTCTAATGCAAAATCTTAACAATAATAAGCCATAAAATAAAAAAAAATTTTGTTTATGTACTGAACCCAGACTACTGCCAAGATGAAAAATAATGCTTATTTTGGCATACTTCTGCTTTATTTATATCTGAAAAGTTTTCTCCACCTTTTTTCTAATTACAAATTCTTTGATCAGATCCTCAAAACTCATCTTATGTAATTACGCATCTGCTTCTATGCTTCGTAGAGATAAGGCATCCGGCCTGCCTTTCTTGCACAGTTGTTCTCTGTTGGGATTTTTAACATACTTCCACTGAGAAAATGAACACTCAGCTGAGCAATCTGTGATCGTTAATGTTGGAAATATACCAAAGCCAATGAGGCTGAGAGAGTGTGACTTGTTCAAAGTCACTCAGTGAGGTTTCCATGGTCGAGCAGGCATTCGAACCCTGGTCTCTCAGTGTCCTAGTTCAACACTCAAACCACTACAGTGACACTCTCTTTTTCTCTCTACCAATAATACTATGCCTTTAATTCAGATTTTGCCAATTAAATTCACTAAAAACATGGTTAGTGCTAACCAAGTCAACAGCTATGGAAAACAAACCGATGGCCAACAGATTGGAAGCGATCAATATACATCCCCATCCACAAAAAGGGAGACACAAGAGATTGCAGCAACTACAGGACCATAGCACTAATCTCCCATGCAAGCAAATCATGCTCAAAATTCTGCATCATAGACTTCAACCATACATCCCAGAGGTCCAAGCAGGGTTCAGGAAAGGAAAGGTAGAGGCACTAGGGATCACATTGCAAACATACGATGGCTAAAGAAGCGCACTGGGAAACTCCAAAGGAAAATCAGCATGTACTTTAGAGACTATAGGAAAGCCTTTGACTGCATAGATTATGGAAGGCTATGGAATGCCCTTAAAGACATGGGAGTGCCAACATATCTGATAGTCCTGATGAAGAATCTGTACTCAGGACAACAGGATATAGTCAGAACAGAATATGGAGAAACAGAATGGCAAAGAGGTCAGACAAGACTGTATCCTTTCACCCTATATGTTCAACTTTTATGCAGAACATATTATAAGAAAAAGAGGCTTGGAAACAGAAGGAGGAGGAGTGAAAATATGAGGAAGGAATATCAACAATCTAAGATATGCAGATGACACTATTGTACTAGCAGAAAAACTCACAGACCTGGAACACCTACTAAGGAAGATCAAAGAAGAAAGTGTAGGCTTAATGCTGAACGTAAAGAAAACAAAAATGACCACTGAGGACCTTCATAAGTTCAACCTAGACAACGAAGAAATAGAAATAGTAAAAGAGTTCCCATACCTGGGATCAAACATAGATTCAGTAAGGAAATCAGAAGATGACTAAGAATGGGGAGGGTGGCTATGGGTGGATG